TCTGTGGTGCCTCATTGATCCTCAGGGCAGGGTTCATTCGAAGGTAGGTGAGTGTGTATTAGTTTGCTAGGGCTGCTGTAACAAGGTGCCACAGAGTTGGGGACTTAGGCAACAGAAATACATTTTCATAAAATTTTGGAGGCTGCAAGGTGCTCTCGGGGTTGGTTTCTTTGACCTCTTTAGCTTATAGATGGYTGTCTTCTCTCTGTGACCTTACGGGATCTTACTTTCATTAGAAGGATACCAGCCATTTATTTATGTGAGGACCCACCTAGATGACCTCATTTGACTGAATTTTATCTTTGTAAAGATCTGCTCTTGAAAYCGTCCTGTTCCAAGCTCCTAGGGGTTAGGACTTGACATAGGAATCTCCCAGGTACAGTTCAGTGCACACAGCAGGGTGGAAGTGGGAGGCCCTCTTCAGGAAGGGAAACCAAGAGGGGCCTCCAGTTAGGACCATTCCCCTAACTCCATTCTATTTTTTTTTTTTTTTTTTTTTTTTTTTTTTTTTTTTTTTTTTTTTTTTTAAATCACTCTAGGATACTGGAAGCAGGAAGGAGCCATTGATAGAATGAGTCATGGCTTAGGAACCCAACGCTTGCTGTTCCCTTAGCATTTGCCTGAATGACAACCAGGCTTTTGGTAAAAGAAAAACCATCCATGCCTGGTTCTGTTTTGTTTTTCTTTCCTACCTATAAAGAAGGACTCATGCTGCCTGCCCCTTCCTGTGAGGGAGGCACAGACGCAGTGCAAATATCCTTTGGCAAATGTTGAAGGACAGTACTTTTCTGTGGAGAATCGACACATTATTTCCAGCCTCGATGACGGTCACTGCTAAATGGTTTTCATTGTGAGAGCAACCTGGAGGAGAAATAGAGAATGCACAGTTGACCAAAGTCATCATAGTTAGATATCATAAAAATGGTTCTAAAGTAGTTTTTAATTTATTTATCTCAGGGCATAATGCAGCTGATCGTGCAGGGGAAGATGCAGGTTGGCTTTCAGAATGATTCCCGTGTTGCCACACGTTCATCTTGATATCTGGGCATTTGAATACTAAAGGGAAAGCATGCTTTTTTTTGTTTTGTTTTTTTCTGGAAAGTACATAGCCCTGCAAAGGAGCCCCAGAGCCCGCACAGTGCCAACATCCTTGAACCCTGTCTTTTTCCTGCTGAGCTCCAGGGGCAGAGGGCCTGTATTCACTCGGCCAGTGGCCTGGGGCTTTCCAGCCTCGGCTCTTTGGCTAGACTGAGGACACCAGCCAAGTGGGACCCCAGCCRTCTGGGTGACCATGGCAGGCTTGGGAGCAGGCTCTGGTTATTCCCAGATTGAGTCCCATCCTGCCACTAGCCACTTACACAGGCACTCACAGCCCAGGCTGTGGATCACCAGCTGCCCTGGTCTCCTGTATAAGTGGGTGAGACACCCTTTAAAAGAACCAGGAAATAAGGGGAAAATAAGGGAATGTCTTAGACACGGCTTGTGAATGCATTTGAACTTAAACATGCAAATTCACAGCTCTAAATAGGCACCCCTAAGAAGAGGTGCTTGGAAAAAGCACTATTTTTAGCAAAGAAAATAAAGATAGAGAGTTCCTTTAAAATGCATTATAATTCAGCTACCCATATTAATCCTTCTGACAGGTAGATAGTTTTCTAGGTGCTGGGGATAAAAGATGAGAAGATTTGACTGTGCCCCAGGGAATTCTCTAGGGAAGACCTACATGGAAATAGAAAATTGCAATCCAGCCTGATGAAGGACCTACCAGGGAGATTCAAAAGCACACAGACGAGGGGACAGTTAATTCACTCCCAGGTAGTGGGTTGGGAGCTCACTTTTAAGCTATGCAGAACAGAGACGGGAAACCTTTTCTTTTTCTTTTTTTTATTTTTGAGTCAATGAATTATGAAATGAGCAACATTCAACTCTGTTTGACATAAAAAAGTGAATTTCCTCTGGCTAAACCCAAGAGTGGAAGTGGATGGACACTTCCCCTTCTCCTCCAGCTCAAGTCAAATGGTGGTAATTGTCTGGTTGCAGCATTGAGAAGGATTCTGAGGATTCTGGGCCAATGGGAAAGGATGATCTTAAYGCTGTCTGTCTGGCTGAGGAACGGGTAGACAGTGGTCCAGTTTGAACTTGTTGCCATTGTTCAATTTTAAGGAGCTTGATAAACAAGGACATCTACAAAGCACAGAATAGCATCACGGTCCTAGACACAGGCTCATGGTAGCTGGAAGTAAATGGCCCCAAATAGGGCTTGGGGACAGATAGATGCACTTCAGGAATCTTGTGGGAAAGCTCTCTGGCTTTGAATGACCTTATAAACTCTGCTGTTGCTTGTACGCTATTAACTATTTGACTTGCTTTTTTAAACAAATTAAAYGGTGGTCTTCCCTGTGGCCCCCCAAATAAGTGCAGTTCACAGTGTTGTTGTTTTTTTCCTGCGTTGTTTTGTTGAATGCAAAGCTCCCTCTTAAGAAAAGGTCACAGAGCACTAAGAGAACATACTATAAGCACTTTGCAAATTAAATTGAAGGATGTTTTCAGGTAAAATAAAAACCAAGTCTTGTGGTGCATGGATTTTGTTTTACAAAGGTCAAAATCATTGCATAAAGTTTTAGGTTTTTTTTACTACTAAGAGAGCTTTCAAAGAACTTCTTTCAGACCAATTTCTCAGGATCCACAGCATAAGAAGAATTAGGAAAAGCTTCATTATGCTGCCAGGGTTTAGCTCTTTAGACAGAATCTGTGTTGTGTCCCAGAGGGATTCTGTGAACTGCATTGAGGATATTGAAAATTGACCCAGGCATTCTAATTGCACAATACTGAAATGCCCTTCTGGATGTATTTTTGTTATAATTAGATGGTTTTTCTTTTGAAATCGAGGCACCCAGGAAACTTGAGATCTCGTTTTAAAAGTGGTTTTCCACCAGGGACATGCAGGAGGAGAAAACCCTAGCGTGCTCCAAACCCACCTGTCAGTGTGGCGCCCTACAGACGTTGGTTGGGTCGCTCCCTGTGCACCTCCAGGAGCGTCACCTTCTCCCTAAGATCTCTAACCCTGGGCAGAACCACACCATGACCTCTGCAGAGCCATGCGTGAGTGCTGCTGGTCAAGAGTGCTTGTCCTSGGGTTGCCCTCCTGGGGGGCGGAACTGGCTCCCGTCAGGTGACCTCACACCCCAACCCTCAACCTCTGGGGGTGCCTTCTTTTTGCTCTTGATCCCCATTCCTGTGCCAGTTACCTGCAAACGCTGAAAATACCTAAGGAGAAATTAGACCATGTGACGCCTCTGAGACTGGCAGGTGTCACTTTGGAAGGAAGTAGTGGACACAGAACATCAGATGAGCAAAGGTGATCGTCCCCCAAGGGCCCTGYGGTCAGAGTGCAGTCACCACCAGGAGGTGGGCAGCTCATTGCCCCTCACGTCTGGGCTGCACTGGGGCATGGCCCTTTCCCGGCCATCAGGAGGGTGAGTGAGGGTGAGAAGGACCAGGGACCTTCCCAGTGAAGCTGGGGAAGACCCGACGGGCTTGTTAGGCTTGGTGACGGGGGCAGGGTGACATGAGTCTAGAATTTTAGCCCAATCTCGGTTTTGCCTGAAAATAGTGTACACACACCAGAGAAGCACAGGGAGCAGAGGTGGAGGTGGATTTGGGGACCCGTCCCAGGGGTCTTCCTGTGTTCYGCATCTTTGACTTGGCCCCTGCAGGAGGGCGGCATGCAGGTCAGGAGAGATCAATGAGAATAGGGTCTGGCTTCATGTCTCTTGGTGTGTCTATTTGGTGGAACCCCAGTGATGCTGGAAGTTTCARTGGCACTTGTGGAGATCTTGGGGGAGACAGGACAAGACGGTAGAAACAATCTCTAGGGAGACTTCCCCAAGAGAGGGGCCAGTTCTCTGCTCCTGGGGGTGCACTTGAAAGAGAGCCTTCCTGTTGCGGGAGATTGCCTTCTGCTTGTGGAGACGCAGGGGACTGTGGACGGGAGTGGTTGACCTTGCCCAGCCAGGGACGTGAACAGAAGCCACAGGAGGGCTCCCACCATCCATAACGGGCTTTAGAACTCCTCCTGGGTCCCTCCTCTTCCTYTCCAAGTCTTTGAACTTGGACTTGGTAGCAGCAGGAGAGGAGAATTGGTCCCCTGAAGACTCCTGACCCTAGTCACCCTGCAGTGGGCAGCAGCTCAGAACAGGGTGAGGAGTGGGAGGCTCTCAGGGCTCCGCTGTCCGGCCCACTGCCAGGGCCCGCCGGGGGCCTGGGCTCGCCGCAGTGCGTCTGGCCTTGCAGGCTGGCGAAGCATCAGGAAGGTGGGGCTCCAGGAGGAAACCAGAGAGGGGGCACCTAAGGCCTGTTTTCTGGTGTCTCGGGGGGTCATGGGGGTGGCGGAGGTCACCCTCATTCTTCCCTGCCTTACTTCTTCCTCTGAGGGGCTGATTCAGAAAGGTTCAAGTTTGGGAGGAGGAATTTTTTTTCTCTAAACATATCACCCCATACACTTAACCGTTTCTTGAGTGATTCYTAAGTGCCAGCTCCTGCCCAGGTCRCACCTCTTGGAGGTAGGTATATTGACCCCTGTTTTCCAGATGGTAATGCTGAGGCACAGAGAGGTACAGTGACTCACGGAGATCACACAGCACAGGGTTGTTTGAGTCAGGCTTCCTGTCTGTTTCTCCCTGATATTTTTGAAGTTCCCTTTTGAATATGGCGTAYTCCTTCCCTTCCCGATCTACTGCTGGGTTCCAGGTCAGCCAGACCCCACTGGTCACACCCCATGGCATGCGCTTGGTGGGCTGGGGGGTGGGCTTCCTTGATCCCTTTTGGCCCAGGCAGGGGGCTTCCTTGGGTCTTGCTGTCACGCGGGCTGGGATGTGGCTGTGTGCTCTCTTCTCTGCCTCCCTGGTTCGCGCTGCGTGGGCTCTCGGGTGCAGCGTGCCTGTTCCAACCCGACACCCTCTCTCTCTCTCTCTCTCTCTCTCTCTCTCTGTCTCTCCTAGGCACGGTGCTGCTGTGTCAGACAAACCAGGAGGGACCCTCCATGTACAGTGCCCCCAGTTCACTTGTATATACTTCCGCAAGTAAGCCCCCTGTCGTGGCTCTCCCTGTTACGTCACGTAGATCCCAGTCCCGTCACCTTCCTGCCATGTGCGTTCCCCCCCATCTGTGCCCCACCCTCTGTGGCTCTGCAGGAGGTGAGGTCGATGCTCCTMAGCATGTCCCCGTTCCTGCCGCCTTAGCCTCTGCACCCCTCTGCTCGTCCCCATCCACAGCCGACTCCACCCACCCCAGCCATTCTTTGTTAGACCATGGACAGGAGGTGGTCACTGGGCTGGGGGAAGGTCACGGGAGGGGGACGCTCCTGTTCTTTGCCTGCTTTTGATCACAGCTTTGCAAATTAATATGAGATTCCTAAATAAAATCTGCCAGCCCCCGGCAGTGTAGCCCGGCAAAGGATGCTCGGTCAGCAATTGAGCCTGAGGGTCTCGCCGGGGGAAAGGCGGTCAGCGAGTGGCGAGAGCCTGGTTGGCAAGGCTGTTCCCGTTGCTCTTTGATTCCAGGGTGGAGGAAGCACGAGGAAAATGTGGGTTCTCACCCTTTCTCTGGTGGGCAGGGGAAGAGCCATGTAAATTAGCTTTTTAAAAAGTAAGTCTATTTTATCGTGTGTGTGTAAATATAGCCATCCTGTGCTCCAGGAAGAGAGCAGAGATAGAGTTGGAAGGCAGRGCACAGTGAGGGGGTGGAAGGGCCAGATTCCTGCCCCTGGGCTGAGGGTCTGGGGTGGAGGGTGCCTGTCCCACCTTCCCACCCCACATCCCCAGAGGGGGTTGAGGAATCAAAGCCCAGCTATCCACCGCCATCGCTCAGACGCTCTGCTACTCCTTGGGGTCTCCCAGCCCCAGCTGAGACCTAGCATCTGTCTAGGTGCTGCAAGGTCCCCATAGCTACCCAGTGAGTCTTGAGTGGCATGTCAGGGTCCAAGTGAGCACGGAGGGTCCCGGGGCAGGTTGAGTGGGCGACTGCTGAGGATGGAGAAGGGGTTGGGGAGAGCAGGAGTCAGGCTGATGATCACCAAGGGCACAAGAGACAGAGGCGTCCTCGTGGTCAACCACAGCGAGACGGTTCAGCCCCCAGCACGTGAGGCCGAGACACCCCCAGAGCCATCACAGGAGCCCCACGCATGACGGTGATAACCCCAGGCCCATGCACATGTTTAGGGGGTGGGGCAGGCGGGCATTCCTCCCAGCCATCTGCAATCCTCACTGGCCACGCTAGCCTTCATTAAATGCAAGATGATTCTGTATGCCCCAAGCAACCAAAACCTAGCCACACTGTCTCTGGATCTGTGACTGCTGTCCACTTGCCGTTCACCGTGGTGAAGGATTGCAGGGCTGCTACACACACCCACACACTCGGCCTTGCTTAAGCCCCCAGCCCCGCACCAGGTAGGTACGGTGATGCTTGCCTTACAGCCTGGGAGGCAGAGGGCTCAGAGAGGTGGAGTGSTTCTCCCAGGGTCACACAGCCTGTAGGATGTAGAGCTGTGGTTTTGAGCCAGGGGAAATTATTCAACCTTTGCTACCTTTCTGGATCTATGGGACTCCAAGTCCTGTAGTTACATCTTTACCTGCCCTTCCTTTTTCTGTATAAATGTTATTTTCTGAAGGAAAATTGGTACAGTGGGGTTGAGACCTGGAGTATTTGCCCTAACACTGTTGTCTTGTGGAACCATCTGGAATGAAATCTGTATGTGTGTGCGGGGCAGGATGGTGCTGGTGGACCCACAGACACGGAATCTTGACTTTCACTAAGGTCCCATTCGTGAGCCACACAGGGCGAACGGTCACCACACTGGGCGATATGGCTTTGCACGATCAGGTGACAGATTTATATTTCCATTTTCTTCACAGAAGTGGACCAAAAAAATGATTCTGAAAAGTCCTGACTTGGGTACACGCAAAGTTCCAAAGTGGACCTAGGAAAGGGTTTTACCCATTAAACATAGAAACATTTCACCAATTCTCCATAATAAACTAGCAAGAGCCAACCGAGGAAATAAAATCATCTAACATAGGCACTGGCAAACTCACGTCACAGACCCAACCGGCCTGTGCCCTATTTTATAAGGCCTGGGATCCCTGGATGCTTTTTAAAGRTTTCCAGGGATTGTAAAAACAAAGATATTTCACGGAGACATGGGGGCTGGCAGAGCGTAAAATATGAACAGCTGGCTCCTCGCAGAAGCACGGTGCCAGCCCTGGCTTAACGGGCCCTTTTTATCATGAAAAATGTAAGGTGACAATTTAAACCATCTATGACGCTACATTTTACCCACATTTAAAGTAAAAATCTATAATAATTATAGACACCGTGCAAGGTATGTCCCACATCCCTCCGAAATGTTTTTAAATGACATCTCAGTCACATCACCTTTTCCTCTTATTATTTTCACATCTTAATTTTCATAAAGAGCCCTGAAAATGTTAATGGTCTAATATGCTATTGTCTAATTATACTTCAATCTATTCCCACCACTGTTGATTCTTAGTGATTTTTTCAAAAACATTAAAATCCTACTATAGCAGTTTGAAGGAAAACCCTGAAGAGCATTCCCCACTATCCCATTAAAAAAAAAAAATATATATATATATATATATATATATGCATCAAGTGCCTCAAAGGTGCGCTCCCGGAGGACCTCTAGAAACACCACGCACCTTGCCGTGCTCTGTCGGCATTCTGGAATGGTGGCCACTTCTGCAACGTGGGCTTCTCCCCGGGGATGGCAGGGGCCTGGGGGACTTCCCCTGGAGGCTGTGCCCTGGTCACACACAGAGGCCACCTGCCAGCCCTACAGCCCCTGCACAGCTTCCTGTCTCCTTTGTGGCATTTGGATCCAGGCGGCATGCAGGTGTATTCTCAAGATTCCCCAAGATTCCCTTGAGTCTCCACGTGCAGACTGCAATGCCCAGTCTAGTCCACTCCACATCCCATTTCCTCCAGCAACCCCCAAATCATGGAAAGAACCATGTTTGCAAGAGAACACACACACACACACACACACACACACACACGCACACACACGCACACACACTGTCACCATGTTTCCGGGATCCCTCTCCTCCCCACCCCACCCCCCGCTGTGGTTTGATTGGGGTGAGGAGCCCCATGTCTTGCCTTTGAGATGGGACAGGTGTAGACCATTCCTCTCTAGGAATCCATCCATCGTCCCCAGAGCAGAAGTTCCCTCGCTTCTCAGCGTCTTTTAAGATGTGCTTGTTTTTGTTTTTTGAACCTGAAAGTGCGTGTTCCCTGACAGTTGGGCTCCTGAAAAAAAAAAAAGACTTTTGTAAATTGGATTCTATGTATCCATTGACTTCCAAGATGGCTTGGAAGCAAATTTTGCTTTCAGGTTTTCCTTCTGTCCCCAAAACAATCTTCCACTGGCCTTGAGTGTTTTAGGATTAAATTGCCCCTCTTCCTAGCCAAAGAGCTAATCATCTGTAAATAACACTCTTAACTTCAGTMGGGGGGATGGTTTTTAAAGGGATCCCCTGAAGGAGTCTAATGAAAATAATTCCTTCTGAAGTCATCTGCTTTTAAGAACCACTTTTGCATAGTGCGCTTCCCCGCACCCACCTTAAGTGAGCCTTTCTAACATGACCCAGGACATGAGAAGGTATTAAGGGAACAATCTTCACTCAGACCTCATGTGCCGATCAACCTCAGCCTGCAGCTCCCCGTCTGACCACAGGTGATCCCTAGTTGCTGCTCCTGCACCCCTCTCTATGCTGATATGAAATCTTGGCTCAGGTTGTGTCCTGGGACATCACACATCCTCACATATGCCCCAAGAATTCACCCTCATCAAGAATGTCTACTGGTCCTACTTTCAAGCAAACTTAAATGAAGCTGGAGCAAAACCCCAGGAAGTTAGGTAAAGTCATCCTGTACCAAATGCAAAATGTTTACTATTAAGATTATTGAGWAGGATTTGAGCAGCAAATGATTTGGCCCCTTGCCAGAGACGGCAGGTGAAAGTGGCAGGGCTGGTGGTCTGCCCACTGGCCACACAGCCCTAGGGCTGTGGAYGGCTGACTCCGCCTTTCCAAGGCAAAGGCGCTGGCGGAGATGCTGGCAGCTCTGTGTGAAGGTGGTATGTACGCCTCCAGTCAAGACCAGCCGTAGGCAGGACCCCGAAGGTAAGGATGAGATCACGGCCCCTTCAAAGCACAGCATGACTTTCCTTGTGACTAGTTGAGAGATCAGGAAGTGAATCGGTGTTTGCAGGAATGGAAAAGTCCACCTCTCAGTCGGATTAGCAAAGCCGGAATCCCTTTTTTTGCATGGGATGGAGCTGTCTCCAGAAGGAGGTAAATAAATGTCATCAACTTTGTGTTCTCACAAATGAATGGATTTCAAACTAAAAAAGTAACATGGGATCATGGTCATTGGGGAAGCATGCACACCCACCCGTGATTGTACTTGTGTGGCAATAAGATGCCCACTTTGTCCAGGGACACAAGTGACCTGGCCAGGCTCCAGCATCTTTACACCTTTTCCCCAGGACAATTCACAGGTGGACCTACACTCCTGTAACAGGGGAGGGCGGTGTCAGTGCCATGATCTATGGGTACCTTAGACACTTTAATCGTGCCTGGCTTCATCTGCTGATGCCTGGTGACCGTCTCCCACCCCAGCTGTGGCACCCTCCTGCTGTCTCATATGGAGTGGATGGTCTCCATCCCAGTCACCCAGGTGCTTTCTTTCTGCACCTGTAAAGACTGCAGTGAGCATCTCTGGACACACCCTCCTCCGGCTCTCAATCCCCGCCCCCCCCCCCCGAGCTGTTGACTCCATTCCAGCCTGTTCCCCATGATGTCTTGCTTCTGCTCCCTCAATTTTGCAAAGTAGGTGGGTGTAAAACAGCATCCTCCTAGTTATGAGCATCATCATTCAGGTATTTAATTGTCATTTGGATTTTACCTCTTGGGAATGTCCCGAATTCCTTCTCTCTGTTTCTCTTCCGAGTTTTTTCTTATTGTATTGTTCATCAGGGAACCTAACCTGTGAAGCACAT